CCTCCCCCCCACCGCCCACCCCACACACACACAAAACATCCCCACCGGCTTGTGTGTGTGTGTATGTGTGTGTAGGTCTTGAGGATGCAATGAAGACTGTGCGTGAGTTGGAGAGGACGGTGCGCGACCGGGACCGTGAGATCACCGACTGCAAGAGGAAACTCAGCGACTACATGGACGTACGTCAGGCACATAACACACTCCCATCCACCACATCACCCGATGGCGATTGGTGGATCTGCGTGTGTGTGCAGGAGGCTCAGCGGCTTATCAGCGAGAATGCCACGCTGCGAAGCCTGGCACAAGTCCCTGATGTAGGCCTGCCTATACACAAATCACATTGGGATTACCGCCAGCCGAGCGAGGAGACGTTCTTTCTGTGCCTCTGTGCCTCTGTCTGTCTGTCTGTCTGTCTGTCAGGACTGGGGCATGGACGTGTCCAAGCTGGAGCTGGCGGGGCAGATATCCAAGGCATCCGCCATAGCCAAAGTCAAACACCTGGAACAAGAGGTCGGCCGGGCCGGCAATACACACACGTGCCTGCAAGCAACAGACAGTGGTGTGGTGGCACTAATTGGTGCCTGTGTGTGTGTGTGTGTGTGTGTGTGTAGGTGATGGAGCTGGAGAACGAGAGGGTCGAGTTGCGTCTGAAGCTGCGGTCTATGGCCAGCCTCACCGCACACAAGTCCGTCATCTTCCACTCGCTCACACCCGAGCAGATGCTCCAGGCAAGAAGGAAGGAGATATCCACCCGAGCATATGAGACCTCAGCTATACGGACCATCAGTGGTGTGGGTCGTATGTGCGTCAGGTTGAGGAGTTCGCCAACAATTTGCGCTCTGGGAAGCTCACTCTGCCGCTCGACAACCGGTCCGCTGAGCTGTCACAAACGGTGAGCGAGTGAGCGAGACCAGACAGACCATCGAAAGGTGAGTGTGCCATCTTATCTGTCCATTGTCTTGGTGTGCACGCCTCAGATCAAGGAGCTGCGGGCCCAACTTGATATGAAGGACAGAGAGGTGAGTGAGTGCGAGCAGACCAGCCAGACATCAGGAGCATATATGCCGTTCTTCGGTTGAATCCTTCTGTTCAGTTGCGTCTGAAGGCGTCGCTGGGCGACGAGTTGGATGCGAGGCTGCAGAAGTTCGTCGAGGGCGTCACCAGCCAGCGACCCGCTATCGCTGATGCCGGAGGTGCGGATGCCGCCACACTCTCTAAGGTCAGTGAACATTCCCACCACACCCACGTACCAGCAAAACCCCCTGTCTGTCTGTCTGTCTGCCTGTCTGTCTGTCTGTCGGCCTTTTCTCTTCCCCAGGTTGACGAGCGGCTGCAATCCCTGGCAGACCAGGTCCGTCGCATCGCTAGCCAGCGGCCCAGGGACACCGCTGCCCAAGACACCGCACTGGCGTTTCCATCGCAGGTGAGCCTGCACGAGGTGGGCTGGGGTGGCCTGGGGTGGGGTGGGGTGTGTGTCCGTCCTACGTGGTGTTTGACAGTTTGGTTTAGGCGGTGACCAGGAGGCGGTGGCGATGCGACTCATGATGATGGCCATGATGGCCGGGGGCACCGCTGGTCAGCCAATGGATAGACAGACGCCCACTGCCGCACAGACGTCGAGTGTGTTACCGACTTGCTTACTCAGGGCCCTTGCCGTTCGGTCTGTCTCCTTCTGGCGGCGGCTTCTCGTTCCTGCTGCGTCAGCCGATCGAGGTGCCTCAGGAGCTGGTGGACATCTTCGCAAACAACCCGGCCATAGTGCTCACACAGGTAAAGTGGACACCAACAGAAGACGTACACTGATGACACGCCCGTCGGTGTGTTGATATGCCAACAGCTGGTTGAGGCCCTTGACGAGAATAGGCGACTGAGTGACGCCAACGCAAAACTCGTGGAGGTAAGAAGGGGAGAGAGGGAGGGAGGGAGGGAGGAATGCGGCCGGGCCACCAATTGGCCACCATTGTGTTGCACCTGTGTGTTGGCTGATAGGAGTGCAAGAGCATCCAGGACCGCTGGAAGTGCAACGCCTTGGCGGCACAAGACGAACGCCTCTACACGGTCAGAAGGAAGGGAGGGAGGGACCAGCCATCCCATCCATCCGCTGCTGTCTGTGGACCACATCACCATCATCCCTGCTTGTGGTTTTTGTCGATGCGATGCGATGCAGGAGTTGTTCCGTAAGCAGCGGGAGTGGGAGGCCGACAAAGCCCAGCTGAAGCGCTCGGTGCAGGAGGCCCAACACCAAGCAGAATGCGCCCGCCAAGACCTTAGACATGCACAAGAACAGGTAAGGTTTCCGACAAGCAAGCCGTCCCTCGACGCAAGTGTTTGCCTTCTCCAGATCGAGATTCTCAAGTCGACCACGCCCATCGACTCTTCCCGGCAGGCGGCACTGGAAGCCCTGCAGCGTGTGGCCTTGGCCGAGGGCAAGGCCACACGTCTGGCCCATCGGCTGACCACTGCCGAGGAGGAGCGCGACACTCTCAGAAGGGCGTATGAGGTGCGCGAGAACACGTTACAAGCACATAGACGGGCGGCGCTTTCACCTATTCTCGTGTGTGCTGCTC